CGCCGGCGTGCCAGAAGACGTACACTCCGGCGCCCTTTGCGGAGGACGCGAGGAGCAGAAGGGCAGCGAGGATGCCGCGGCCAGTGGTGGGGGAGTGCATGTCTGGGGCTGGCGTGAGCGAGGTGGGCAGGAGCGGGGTGGGCACGAACCAGAGTGTGTGTGTTGAAACTTGTGGTATGCTATATCAGTCTGCCTCTTCCCCTGCGTATTTATACTGCTGGAAGCCGCCCAGGGTGCATGTGCCAAGGAGAATCCGCACATGCTCGCCCCCCTAGCCGACTCGCCTAGCATCTGGAGGGGCAATGTCCGCGACCTGCGGCGCCGGTGAGTCCACAATTCCCTGTGACCATATCAAGTGAACGACTCCCAATACTTCTCGGACTTTCGCCAGATTGTTCCAGACGGCTGCCACCGGCTGCTCTTCGAAAGGTTGTATTCCCAAAGAGAGAGCCACAGGAGCCGCCGCCTGCGCTACTCGCAGCCCTAAGCTAGGTCTGGCGCCTTGGGCCGCCATCAGTTGTACATATCGGCTGTGCCGATCGGGGTAGCCCTGTGTCAAGCGGCCGCTGGCGTGCTCGGCCTGCCTTATGTGCTGCACTGCGCCAGCAGTCTTACTGCGGCACCTCCTTCCTAGGTTGTCCGCCGATTTCCTGGCGGTGGCGTTCAAGTCCAGTAAGGCTGGGCTGCCCGAGCCCACCCCTGCTTTGGGCCGCGCAGTTGCGGAACCTGCGTGTGATGGCGCATCAAACATCCGGCATCTACACTTGGCCAATCATATCTGTAATTTTGGATGATAGGCAGTATTATGGGCGGTATATTGTATCATAAGCTTTAACTAATGAAGAAAAAAAATTAAGGGACATATCTGCTAAATAAAAATTGAGTGCTCACACACACTAGGGTTTCTGCCCAAAATGGGCCCTGAAGTAGGATTTATTTATCATCAATAGTGGACAAAAAATGTATACTTATTTTAATGACCTGGACAGGATAGCAAATAAAACTCCAGGAAAGTAGACTTGTTTGTAAGAAACCGGGCATATATTAAGCTCTCAGATTGGACTTGACTCAACGCCAATATTATCGGCTGACAATTTTATGGCTACGTTTTGTAGCAAATAAATGCACCAAATATGCCACAAGATATAAATAAGACCATATATATATATAGTCAGGGACAGCACCAAAGTGTACCTGATGTATTAGAAATAACTTCAAATAAGTGGCAAATTGCCATTATTTGGGACAAATCACCCTTATATATAACAAATTGGGGTGGTAATAATGTGACACTATTTTTTTGACAAATATTTGGGCTTGAGTGAGGTGTACTTACTGTCTTCAAAACGTGGGGATAGTTGTATAGGATGCATATACCAATGCTTGTTAAGTTTGCTCCCTACTATCCAAAGTTCTCAAGATATCTTTTATGTTGTCAGTTATATCCATGAGCCTATATGAAGCCTCTGACCTATGCCGCCGCCGCCCTGTACAGAAACTAACCCTCTATCTGCCTTGGTTCTGACAGAATCTCTACATCAATCTGGATCTGCATACAATGATGAATCCATTGCTATATGAATGACATCTAAAGTTTCCATCTGGGAAGAAATTTGAAGGGACACCTTATACCCTGTGGAAAATTTCAATGATTTGATGATATATGATTGGGGGCCTGTGATGGAGCCCTGCCAAATTCCAGGGTTATAAGAGCAATAGTAACCAGTAGAAGCATGCGTGATGACCAGCCCGATACCTTCTGATGCTTCCTGAAGTGCCTGGATTCACGCGTTGTCCAAGATGAGCGATACACCAAAGCAGTCAACAGATATAGATATTCAAAGGCCAAATAAATACAAGCAACTAGAAATTTACAATGCACATTCAGTCCAATGCATAGGAAATACGGTGGTATGTTGATAAGGTCCGAAGTAGCTCCGCAGTCGACCAGACCCGAGAGGGAGAGCTTGAGCGTGTTTGCGGTGGACTCAAGTTCTAGAGGGAAGTGGAGCGAATTAGCCCCAGGCGCGGCAGAGATGGTGTAGCTGCGAGGTAACTTATTCTCCCAGGCAAGTCGGCGAATCCGAACGGGGGCTTCGGAGGGGTAGGGGGTGCGTCTTTCATTTCGGGCTCGTTGTAGGACAAGGGAGTTGATTCATCATACAAGCAAGTGAAACAATTTACGGACGAGAACGAGGGCACACCAGTCACTCGTCTCGGTGATAAAATCCTCCGTCGGATCCTCCGAATGCACCTATGCTAGGGCCGCAGTGCATGGACTTCTCTTTGCTCCGCTCTCTGTTGACCACAAAGGCCTCCGGGACAAGCCGGGCATAAGTCTTGACTGTGTATAGGAAGGCGCGGCTGTGTTTGCGATCTCCGTTAAACGCAAAGGGGGGGGGGTTTGATCGTAAGACCAGTTTTGAGGTAACAGTAATGTCACCAAATAACGCATCCACATCAGGGGCATTCGGAGATGCCGAAGTTGGTTCAGGAGCTGCCGAAGGTGGTGCGGCAGCGGAAGCCTGGGAAGCAAGGTGGGTGAGGATATTGGTGAGGTTGTCTAGTTTTGCCTCAAGTGCGTCCATGTGCGTGTCAGTGTCTGAAGCAGCTCCGGTAGACCTAGGGGGCATAAGGACGACAAGAGCAGAGGAGGAGGGGTCAAGTGGCAGGGGCAGTGACAAGGGGGTACGGACTTCTATTCTGAGCCTGAGTCAGCGCCAAACCTGGCAATCTTGACCGGTTAATCCCGTAGAGAGTTTCTTCTGCTGTAAGGGCAACCCTGGAGACTCCGACGAAAGCCTAACAGGGGAGGATCCAAAGCGTGAATAAAAGCTAGAGGAAATACACAGAGGGACCGACCTAGCAGAGGAGAATCCAAAGAGAAGAAACTCTAAGGGTCCACCTGCTAGGGCGCCAACTATATACTGGTTGTCCGTAACTGCCGACGTAGAGCACAGAGGGCCTGAGTGGCGTCGCAGGCTCTGTCTCAAGGTGATCGTTGGGAGGGCCTTGACAGATTGGTGATTGTGCAGGCAAAGGAGGCCGTGGACGATGGTCGGGGTGGGTCGGAGCGTCCGAGGGGGCGCCGGTCGGATGCGCCTCGGATGCGCTCGGACGGTCTGAAGGAGGCCGAAGCGGGGGTTCCCCTGATACTTACCCGGTTTGAAGGAGCTATGCATGCCAGTACCGGTTTCGCAACTGGCCACATTGACCAGTATGTGGAAGAGCTCCTCTTGAGCAGTGCTGACCGGAAAAGGCCTCCTCAAAAGACGACAAGTCTAAGACAACGATGAGCTACATAAAAAGAGCAAAATCAGCAAGACTTACCGTCCAATCAGCAAGATCAGCCAAAAACTGAAGTCGAGCAAGTTGCTCGGCACAAGAGGAAGCCAAATGAGCTGCAACAGCGTGCTCGTGTTCGTGGATGGTGGTTTTGTGCGCGCCAACCATACGGTTTTGCGTGATGACTTCCGAGCAGAGGGTCTTGATGTCAGCAAAAGTTTGGGCAAATGACTCTGACAGATTGGGTTCCACACGATACAACCCCGTGCGGACGTCGAAGATAATGTTGCTGAGAGGCTGCAGTTCAGCAAAAGACAACAATTTGGCTCTTAGGGCCACCTTGGAGGCGTTCAGGGCCGACACGAGGTAAAGAAAAGAAGAAGCGTGCACCAGGCGATTAGCCAAAGACAACAGAGCGGCTCAATGCTCCACCAGGACCACTAGCGCAAGCTCCTGGACCTTGCGGGTAGCATCAAGGATGCCAGCACTGGGCTGTTTCCAGAATTTTTCCCTGTGAAAAGTTAGGTCAAAAATTTGAAATTTTTGAATAATTGTTTTCCAAGTCAAAATTTGAACTTTTTTTGCCAACCTTCGCCCGAAAAATGTTAGAAAAAAAATTAATTTTTTTTGACTTAATTATTACTAAGAAAGAGATCTAACTATATACAGAGAAGAAACTAGGACAAAAATTTCGAGTTTTTGCAGCTAGTTTTTGCTAAAAAAAAATTAGAACAAAAATTCAAGGTTTTTTTTTTCAAAAATTTTTGCTAGGGAAATAGTTCAAATTTTTGCTCAGAAAAGCTTGTTGCACAAATGATCAGTTTTTTGCTTAATTTTTTACAAGCAAAAACTCTAAGTTTTTTTCCGGAAAAAACAAAGAGAAAAATTACAAGTTTTTCTTCTCATTTTTTCTAGGCAAAAACTCAATCAAAAACTTGAAGTTTTTTCTTAGATTTTTTTCCAGATTTCTTCCAGGACAACATTAGTCTGCAAGCAGCAGGTGAGCGGCAGATGATTGGCAGATGAGTGGCGGCGAGGCGATCCCGCCTGATCATGTAGATGATAACTTGCCTTCTCCTTGTCCAACCTTTTATTCAGATATTCTATATATTACTATATATTATATGTAGATTAGGTACATGAATGATTTCTAAAGAATTCAGCCAAATGTATGCACGAAACATAAATGACGATGCCCTACCGCTTCATTCAAACTAGTGTGAGTACCTTGTGCCCATGCACTGCAGCGAGAAAGGCTGGAGCGGCGAGTGGGCAGGAAACATAAGCATGAACGTCGTCGTCAAGGGGCTGCGTGGCCTCAGGATGAAATCATGGCTCATGATTATATGTATGTACATCTATCTATTATACTCTGGACTTTCTGTAGTTAGTTTACTTAGTTAGGGGTAGTCATTTGGTTGGTTACTTTAGTATAAAATAAGAATCCCTATAAGAACTGTTAATGTGGTGGTTGTGCTTATGTAACAAAGAATTTCTTTGGTCAGATTACTTACTTGTTTCTCAATCAGCTAATGTAGGGAGTCAGGGACATGAAAATTTGTCAGATGAGAACTCAAAAATGGATTCAGCATATGGATGAACAGTATATGTATGCATGTGTCTCTGCATAGCTACAAATTGATAGGAAACAGTGTTACTGAAGAGGGATTAGACTTAGTAAAATAGTGACAAGGTAACATACTGTTATAAATGGCTTAGTAAAACTCATTGATGGTGACCAGAAGGAACATGAGGATGAGAGCAGCAATATACCTTGATATGGAAGGCACAGGTGGGGTGTAACATTTAGCCCAGTTGGGACCAAGAAAGTCCAAATCAATATCAATATCTGCCCTGCCATTAGAGGAAATAACAAGAGTACAGGGTGGGAACTTGAGTGTTTGGCGTATAGTAGGGGAACACCAAATGATAGGAGAGGCAGCAGGGTAGGGGCCAATAAGCCAACCATCCTTGCCTATAGAATATTGTTCAACAGTGGTGGGATTTGCATTCCAGATTCGAATTGTATGGTCATCAGAGCCAGAAACTACTTTTGTACCATCTGGAGAGAATGCTGCTGAGGTTACCCAACTAAAGTGGCCATTGAAGCTCTGCTCTTCTGCTCCTGTAGCTGCATTCCACTGCTTAACTGTTTTATTATAATAGCTTGAAATAAACTGTGTGCCATCTGGAGAGAATGTTACTGAGGTTACACGATCAGGGTGGCCATTGAAGCTCTGCTCTTCTTCTCCTGTAGTTGCATTCCAGATCTTGACTATATTGTCCTTAGAGCTAGAGACCACCTTTGTTCCATCTGGAGAGAATGCTACTAAGATTACCCAAGCAGAGTGGCCATTGAAGCTCTGCTCCTCTTTGCCTGTAGCTGCATTCCAGATCTTGACTGTTCTATCATTAGAACCTGAGACAACCTTTGTGCCATCTGAAGAGAATGCTGCTGAGGTTACCCAGCCAGAGTGGCCATTAAAGCTCATCTCTTCTGCTCCTGTAGCAGCATTCCAGATCTTGACTGTTGTATCATCAGAACCTGAGACAACCTTTGGGCCATCTGGAGACAATGCTACTGAGATTACCCGAGGAAAGTGAGCATTAAAGCTCTGCTCTTCTGTTCCTGTAGTGGCATTCCAGACTTTGACTGTTTTATCATAAGAACCTGAGATAACCTTTGTGCCATCTAGAGAGAATGCTACCGAGGTTACTCTAGCAGAGTGGCCATTGAAGCTCTGCTCTTCTGCTCCTGTAACAGCATTCCAGATGTTGATTGTTTGATCATCAGAGCGTGAAACAATCTTAGTGCTATCTGGAGAGAATGCTACAGAGATTACCTCAGTAAAGTGATCGTCGAAGCTCTGCTCTTCTTCTCCTGTAGCCATATTCCAGACCTTGACTGTTTTATCATAAGAACCTGAGATAACCTTTGTACCATCTAGAGAGAATGCTACTGAGGTTACTCTAGCAGAGTGGCCATTGAAGCTCCGCTCTTCTGCTCCCGTAGCTACATTCCAGATCTTGACTGTATTGTCATCAGAACCAGATGCCATCTTTGTTCCATCTAGACAGAGTGCTACTGAGATTCCTGAACTAAAGTGGCCATTGAAGCTCTGCTCTTCTGCTCCTGTAGCCGTATTCCAGATCTTAACCATTCTATCACTAGCAGAAACAACCTGTGTACCATCTGGAGAGAATGCTACAGAGATTACTTTATCAAAGTGGCCATTGAAGCTCTGCTCTTCTTCTCCTGTGGCTGCATTCCAGATCTTGACTATTGTATCCTCAGAGCCAGAGACCACCTTTGTTCCATCTGGAGAGAATGCTACAGAGGTTACCCAACCAGAGTGGCCATCGAAGCTCTGCTCCTCTTCGCCTGTACCTGCATTCCAAATCTTAACTATCCCATAAGAGCCAGAGACCACCTGTGTTCCATCTGGAGACAATGCTACTGAGGGTGTCCAACCAGAGCTGAAGCACTGCTCTTCTCCTCCTGTAGCTGCATTCCAGATCTTGACTATACCATCACCAGCAGAAACAACCTTTGTGCCATCCGGAGAGAATGCTACTGTACTCCTACCACTGTTGTTAGTCTTGATAGCCACCAAGACTTTCTCCTGAACCACCTTCTCACAGTTTACTCTAATCAGATGAGGAAAGTACTTTTCCCAAACTTGATGCCCTCTTCTCCTTCCTAACTCCATTCCTAGACCTGTTATATATAAGTGAGGAGTTGACAAGAACCCCGGTCCATTTATATAGTAGGTCTATAGAGATTGGGCCCTGTATAAATAATTCCTTATCATCTCTGCTTCCTGGACCTGTCCCTCTTGTTAATATCCCTATTCTTTTTCAAATTCTTGTTTACCTTATGGACCCAACTCAATGCCTGGTCAAGCGCTATACGGCAGTCTTTTCTCATTAAATTCATGGTCTCCATCCAAAATAATATCTTCAATTCCACAAACTTCTGTAAACACTGGATAATTTCCAGCACCCTTGGATTATCATGCCTAATTGACTTCAGATGTGCACCCCAGTTTTGGCAAGAGTATCTAAGCTGTACCCCTATTCGTTGCTTGATTTTTAATTGTAAGTTGACATCCTCCCCATCTCTTTGGTATGATGATGGCAAGTCACAGATATTGAACTTCAGCTCTTTATCCAGAACCTGCAATGCTGTACATGTGCGGTTAAGAAAATAATCATTAGCTTCATCTCCATGATGTAATCTGGCCCAATCAACAACAAAGTCATCAAATGACTTGTGATAAGAGTAAATGCACTGATCAGCTGCTGAGATATATAATACTGCATCAAAAGCCAAAACAGTATTTTCAATAGCTTTTATATCTGGCTTATCTGAAGTACTCTCCATTATAAGTAGAGCAAGAGTTTTGATGCTATAGGGTTGGCGGGCTGACACAATAGCATATAGTACATGTTGTCGTTGAACCATTTCTGGTATGCCTGTTGGCAGTCCTTCCTGAAGGATATATTTATATAAGGTGGCAGCTGGGAGCTCCACTCCTGCATCTGGACTGGCTAGTTTTCCACTATTGTATAATCTCATCATTCTGACCTGCTGTTCTTGTAGTGTCAAAGTATATTGTAAAGGCTTCAAGTATCTAACAACTGTGGCAGCATAAATAAAAAGTCCTTGAGCCTGCTGAACAATATAATGTCTATCCAGCTTAGATAATTCAGGTAATTCTGCATCAATATACTTCTGGATATCCTCTGCTGCTTGGCTTTTCGGAATCCACTCAAGATGGTAAATGTTTTCTCGGAGTTTCTCTGCATGCCTAGCAATCTCATTTTTTTGGACGGCTTGTGATTAATAGCTTCAAACCCTTGAACTCCTGGTTGATTTGTTCCATCAATTGCTCAAGAACCCTGTATCCCTGGTTCTCTTCAATTTCATCTAAAGCATCAATCACAATAAGATGTGTTGTCGAGTGGTGTTGCGTAGATTTCTTCCAGGGCTCTACCAGCAATTCCTTGACGTGTGTACTCGAAGAGGGGACTATAGTATCCAGACTTATATTTGAGAGACTTTGAGCATATGGCCCATACTCTTGGAGAAGCTGTCAAGCAATGGTAGGAATGATATTGGCCAATGTTCTTGACATAGGCTCAGTTCTGGAGCAGAAGAATGATGCAGCTAGTCGTTTCTGTTCTTTTAGTTCTTTGCAGATTGTATAGGCAATAGTAGACTTTCCAGAGCCTGCCATACCACTAAGCCAGAATATTTGAGAGCCATTTGAAACCCAAGCACCGTGAAGGGCGCCGACCAACCCAGACTCGCAAGGACACCACAACACCTCGGGATTCAAAGTTATGGGAGACATACTGTAAAAAAAGATTAGAGACAACTTAGGTAAAATACAGCTAAAAATATGATACAACTCTATATCAACTACAACTACATGTTTGTCAGATACAACTTCACCAATAACATGTACAACTTGTCTGAGTACAACTTTCCAACATGAGACAACTTTTTTGAGAGCATGTACAACTTTGGGGGATACAACTTTTTTGGAAGCATGTACAACTGCCAGAATCACAACTTGTCCAGAAACAACTTTTCATTTGGCCAAAGACAACTACAACTTTTAATAAGACATCTTTGGCCCTAATTCAGGTACAACTTTTTCCTGGGTGGGGCAACTTGAGTCTGGCTGTGACAAGTCCAACTTGGGCAAAGACAACCTGTCATTATGTACAACTTTCCAAAATGCAACTTTTCCTGAGTACAACTTTTTGGGCATACAACTAGCCAGTTGGACAACTTTTCCTAGGACAACTTTATTTCTGTATGCAGTTTATTTGAATGCAATCTGAACTTTTTTGGCCAGCCATCACTGATATCATCAGCGGATCAGATAAACACATTAAACATGCTTTGCTCTACCACTGCCTTTATGATCACCTTTGATGGCCGCTGATGGCAAGTGATGCAGTAACTGAAGTTGTACCTTGTCTGAAAAAGTTGTATGTAGGCCCAGAAAAGTTGTACCAGAGGCTTTGGCAACATGTATCTTGCGAAGTTGTGATTTACAAAGTTGTTCTAGTCTAGGTTGAAGTAGCACTTGAAAAAGTTGTACCTCAGAAAGAAAGTTGCACTTGAAAAAGTTGTACTCAAAATGAAAAACCAAGTTGTATTCAAGAAAGTTGAAGATGTTGCTGGAAAAGTTGTCTGCTTATTATGAGTTATCAGCAGTCAGAAAAGTTGCACTTGCAGAAGTTGAACATGTCTCCAGAAAAGTTGTCATCAAGTATAAACTTGTCACCAGTCAAAGTAAAACATGTCACCAGAAAAGCTGTCTTTGAGGTTGACTTGTACATGTACACAGGGTGAAAAGTTGTATCTAATTTGCAAAGTTGTATCTAAAAACTCTAAAAAAGGTGAGTTGTACCTTCAAAAAGTTGTATCCAGTTTAAAACATGTATCAAATACTTTTTTTACAGTATGTCCCCCATACAAAGTCACCAGTAACAGAGAAGAAAATGAGTCAAGTTGTCTCAAATGACCGCGGGACGGAAGACATTAGTCATCACGGTCACAGAAGAACTTTCTTGCCTTTACTCCTCCTTGTCATTCCGCAACCATGCTCTTAGCGTCCTCCGCTGACGGGCTAGGAGGCCAAGCATCTTGACGTATCTCAATTTCACTCGGAAATGGTTGGAGGCCGGCGACACAACACCTTGGTCGGGAGGCTCCAGCATTCTGCAAGAACGTCTTCCCCGAGCCCAAAGACATCTGGAATCGAAAGGTATTTTGGGATAGAAAGGTGCGTTTTGCGCCTCTCTTACGCTCGTCGCGTCCTTATTTCCCGTCAGCAAACCACTCTCAAGCTGCTTTTGCCGCGCTGGGTCTGAGAACTATTCTCATGGGACCTTGGCCGCTGACGCGCTGGGCTGACCACGAAGAGCAGTGGTTGCCCATTACCATCAGGATCTCACTGGTGTTTTGGACGCCTTTTCTGCGATCCTCGTCAAGATTCTTCTACACGGCAGGGTGGAGCAACATCGGTACTAGCAACTTGCACCCAGACAAATGTGGAGGAGGAGGATGTCCGAGTCTAGGACAACCACTCGTAGTTCGGTTTCCGGTCACTCTTGGTGCGCATCTCTGCCTTTCGCTAACCCTTGAATATTGATGTTCGTAGTCAGATTGCTTTCCTGTGTACTAGTAGGCTGTAACAAGGTACGTTCTATCGTGGTGCTGTACATCCCCTTCTCATTGTTATGCAAGGATCTCGTTGACAAAAAGCCTCACACTGGCATGCCTCGCACGTCCTGCCCTCTTGCCTCCCTCATCTTCAGCGTCGACATTCGGAGAATCTGGATGGCGATAATCACCCGAATATACCGAAATTCCTCTGCTTCCTCCTCCCTCCACTGCCCCAGCCACAATGAGACCCGAGACTGCCCTTTTCCTGGCCCGCAAATCCTTCCCCCAATTCCTCCGCACTGAATGTTTCGCCATTCTGCCCCGGATCCACCACGGAAACCCTATTCCAAGGAACAGAAACGTCCTCCCATTATGCCTGCAATATACCACGATGTTCTGCGGCCCGAGTCCTCTTACATCCCTCGTTTTGTCGCCGAGCGTGAATGCGCGCATTTGGTGTTGCCTGGACAACCGTGCGGACAAAACGGACGTTGTTTCGGATATCCATACACTCTCTTGACTATACGGGATGATTCGTTGGAGCAGAATTCGCGCTGAAAACGCGTCTTTATTGTCTTCATTCTTATCCAGCGGTTTTACGCGCGGCTTGTTTTCGGACTCTTGGCTCCTGACTGACTCGCTTTTTACCCCCCACTGCCACTATCCTCCGCTCGCAATCTTTCACCTCATTGCCATGTCGACGTCATCGGGCTCGGCATACATAATGGCTGCTACGAGGACCAGCCTGAGAAGCCTCAATTGCGTCGTTGTGTGTTTTGAACACTATTACCACTGGCAGTGCCCATCATGAATCATCATTTCTTAACTTACTGAAGTTGGGCTTGCACGACACTATGAATAAGGCTACGTGAGGCCAAGACGAGCTTTGTACTGGCACGTCCATCATTGACATATCTACATTTTACAATACAATACAACGAGGCAAGTACGAGGCACAGGCTACAAAACACAGCACAGTAAGCTGCAAAGCAGAAAGCGGCGGGTCAACAAGTATGATACATGCGGGTTCAGTCAAGGAAATCTTTGAGGGACCACGGCCAATGGGCGCTGGTCGGCGCTGGATTCAGTTCGTGCGCGCTGGAGCCACCCCTGGGGGGGCCTTTGTTGCAGTTGTTACTAGTATTCTTTCCTGTTATGCTGTTTCCTGTGTTGGGGCCCATGCTAGTGCTCCGCTCCTCAAGCCCGCTGTCCACAAACGTATGCTCTTTCCTTCGGCTCGCAGCGATACCTCCCCCGGTCTCTTGCGCGTGGCCTTCGAGCGGCTGCGAGGGCGCAGCGCTCCTCGGGTCTAGGCAGGATGATCCAAGTTGGGCCGTCAAACAGTGTTCTCTAGCTGTCGCCTGTTTTCTGGGTGTGGCGGTCGAAGCATCTGACTTTTGAGCTAAGCCTCGGTCCTCCGCCGCTCCGACCGTGGCCGATATCGCTGGACCAGTGGGGGCCGCCGCAGCATGGGACGGCGCGGTCGGAGAATTCGGTTTCCTCCCGCCCGCCCGCTTTGCCCTCGGCTCTATCGGCATTTCCACATTCCCCGTAACGACAGCCGCTCCCCGAGCACCGTAGCTCATCTCCTCCACCCGCCGCTTCGTTCCGTTCCCGACGGCACCGCAACGGAGGGCGAGGATCTTGATGCCCGGCCCGTGGCGGGGCGCCTTGGGTCGCTGCGGCTGGCGAGGAGGTGCCGTGTTAACAGTTGTTGGGGGAATTGAAGGTGGCGGCGCACAAAGCGGAGCAGCGCGGAGATCGGGAGGGGGCAATGGGACTATTGGTTGAGCCGGCGACGGACGCGGGGTGGATAATGCAAGCCCGGCAGGGAGCGGTTGTGCTGCAGACGGCGCAGGCGTGGCGTCGGGCGTCGGCAGATGTGCTGGCCGCGCGCCGTCCTTGTCATTCGTCGCTATTTCCCCGGTTCGGGGTTGCGACGTCGCTGTCGCTGTTTCGGTTTGCATCAGAGTTTCAGGCGGTTCTTCGGCCTCAACAACAATGGTGGCTGGCGCGCCCATAGCAACGTCCACCGCGCCTTGTTCTCCCCGCCCAGGGTCAGCATCCTCCGAGAAAGACCAGGCATGGCTCGAGGCACTGTTGCCGGGCGGAGCATCATCAGCCGGTGGCATTTCCACATCAGTCTCCAGCGTATTCAGCAAGGGCTGCGCGTCCGGGGGTCTTGCGGCAACGTTGACATTCGATCTGGGGGATAGCCGGTCGTAGGTAGATAGCAAGAGCGTCGGAATACCCCATGAAGAAGCATAAGTCGAAGGAAGGGCGGACACTGTCTGGGCGGGCGGGTCAACGCCCGCGGTACAATTCAGCGGGCCATAGTCCTCCGGAATTGAGATAATCGGCGTTGCTATTCCGTTCGTCTCCACTTGCATTTCCTCAGAAATTGCCGCTGGCCCCGGCTGTAGACCCGCATTATGTTGCTCCAAAATCTCGTCCGGCGTCGTGCGGTTGTCGTCGTAGATGGGAATGGCGCTGGGAGAAGGAGAGTTTGCAATCTGTCTACGCTCAGCCCGCGTTTGGTGGAGGGATTGACTACGCTTACTGCTGCCAAGGTTTTCGTGTCGAGGCTCGTTTCGATGGGTGTGGTACTAGTGTTGGCCACGAGCGATGGCCCGGGCTCGTCTCCGTCGTCGTCTCCATGCTGCCCACTGTGTCAGAGCGTGGTTCGGACATCATTAGGAACTCGCCGGATTGTCGGTGTCAAGCTGCACAGTGCCGTTTTGCCAGTACCTCTATATCCAATGTCAGCAAGCGGCGGATGTATATCTTCTGCTTACCCTCGGGTCCGCATTTTGCAGCTTCACCTCGTCATCCGATATATGCTTGGCAAATCTGAGCTTTTCGTCCGCTGCCCGAGTAAATGCCCGAGAATATAATGGGTACAAGACCTACCGATCCATTCGGCGCCGGCGACGATGACGAAGCCCGCCTGGGTTCTGAAGTAGGGGGACTCCGATAGGCTGTCACGGCTGCTGACGCTGTCCCAGAACCGCCGCACGAGGTCTTTGCAGGCTTTGAGACTCTGCACGGGCTCCCACCTGGAACGGTCGCGTCAGGAGAGCAGAGATGCTGGACGCTCCCCTCACGTATTCTCGCTGTCGTCAAAGCCGGCCCACTGTCGTTTGCTGAGCAATGGTACCGGGAAAGCGGGGCAGCGCACCTTCACAAAATATTCCTGTGTCGTCATCAGCCCAGTACTAGTAGTGAGTGGTCTCGGCTTGGCCACGCACCCATCTGGTATCGATGTGAGGCCTGAACTCGCCGGGCGCACCGGCCGGCTTCGCTTTCCGCCGCGCGCGCAAGATGCATTCTGCAAACGGAGTAAGAGTTGAGCGTTGGAAGCAGGATGATCGACGAGTGTGACAACTGCGACACTGCTTACCCGCATACCACTGCTGCTCGCCGCTTCCGTCGTTGGCAGTCGCACCACCCAGCCGCGGAAGCCCGTACAACGCCAGCCCCGCGACGCCCGCGCCCGCGCCCGCCGCCGGATCCCGTGCCCCGGTCTCCTTCTGACGCCGCTTTCTACTCGGTGTCGACATCATGTGGATGGGTCGATGGGGTCATGCTACCGTGGTCGTCGAAAGCTAAGAAGAAGAGGGAGAACGGCGAGAGAGCCCTGGGGCGAAATGAATGCTGCCTCGTTGCATGCCGAGTGGCCGCAAGGCGCGCTTCCCTGTCACCATATGCTTTGGCTTTCTATTCTTACATTCTCTCCGCAGCTGTTCTGGAAAACGGGTCGCGTTTCACGTAGAGTTATCGAACGCGGCCCGAAGAGCAGCGTCCAAAAGGGCAAGAGCACTGTTACATACCGCGGAACTTGTTCCCAGCCGGCCAGCGTCGCTTTTATTAGCCCAGACTATGGTCATCGATAATGGCGCAAGCAAAAAAGTTATTGGATAACAAAAGCAGAAGCTGGCTCGCCCCCCGCATGGGTCCTCACTCAACTCTATCAGGCCAGACTGGCGACTCCAAACCTGGACCTATCAGACTGAGTTGTAGCCGGCATGCAGTGCGTACACTCTGAAATTTCTCGATTGTATCTTGCTGACCGGTCTTTCTGCAGACACACGCCGCCCCGGCAAGCCTGCTGCTCTGCGGAAAAGCCTCTTTTCTCGTTGGCATCCTGCCACCAGCGATGATCTACAGTGGAGACGAATGGTGTGAATGTGGGAGACGAATGGGACGAAAGTGCTTTTCTAAGAGCGGCCTCGTCTAATCTGCGGGCGCAGCCCTCGGTATCCTCAGGCTGTGAATGACTGTTATCTAATAACCCTCTGTGACAGCTCGGGCCACTTGATTCAGGTCGCCCTATTCTACTTGACAGGGCAGAATGGGTTATAATTTGGGGTTGTGCGAATCAGGGGTGGGAATGGGAAGGGTACAAATGCTTTTGGTTGTTGATGACGGTGTGGATCCCTCCTGCCGCCGAAACATACTCAAGACTGAACCCGCTTCAGGTGTACTCGCTTGCTTCAACCTTGTCGCTGCGACGATGGGCGTGGAATTCAAGCTCTCGTGAGTTTAAGATGCGGTTTTGCATGATTCAGAACATAGCCATGTTTGTCGGTTTGAAAGGATTATTTGACCATGAACGGTATGGCGAGGTTGTCATTACCATCGACTTCGCATCCTCCCTCTCACGTAAACCACCCCGCCACCAGTAACATGGCCACCAAGCCTCCGACCAGCTTCGCATTCGCGGTGGTTCCTCCCGCTGCGTTCTTGTGCGGGTCGGGCCCGACGCAGAGCACGGGCCCGCTGTCGATTCCGCAGCGCTCGAACGCGCGCATCGCCGGCGAGTCGTACTGGAACGCGCCGGCGAACGCGCACCCGCACGTGCCGTTCGCGGCGACGAGCGCGCTCCCGGCGCCGGCGCAGCAGAGGGCCGTCGCGGTGATGTTGCCGGTGCGGCAGCCTGGGAACATACTTATGTCAGCGGGAGAGAGCCACGTGCACAAGCGACTGGACGGCGCACCGTTGAAGCTGCTCGTCAGCGTGCCGGACTGGGGCTGCGAGACGCAGCCGGAGGGGATCGGGATGCTGGCGCCGGACGCGGCCGACGGGGACGGGCGGGGGCTGAGGGACGACGACATGGCGTTGGGAAGGGAAGCGGCGGGGGCTGGGAGCTGTCGTCCTGGCTTTTATGGGCTTCGCTTGGACTGCCAAGGGGCTACAGCCATGCACGGCGCGAGGCACGCAATTCAGTCCATGGGCATATCTCGGTGCGGATTCGCGTGTCGCTGATAGGCGCGCTGATCCCGGGCTCTCGCAAAGCCCGTTTCTTCATAGCGAACGAGCCGCTTCACGCGATTGGATCCTATTCGCTAGAGGAACTTGGACCTGCGATTACTCCGAGTGGCTCGTCCTGGGTTGCTGCTAGTGCCACAGCGTAGCTGTATGCCTGAACGCTGAGGTATCCAACGCAAATTGAAACTGAGGCAGGATCGCCATCTTTCGATGATCTACGCTTGACGTTGTTCCGAGGAAGGACTTTGATGGGAAGCAACAGCACCTCGCTAAATATATCGCAACTTTTGCGGCAAGTGCGACCAAGTTCCTCCAAGTTCTGAGATAAGTACAGCACTTCAGCCAAGCCAACAGCAGCTGAAACTCAAGTTTGCGCCAAGCTGTAGTGCGCGCAATACTCCAGGAATACTTATTGCTCGTCGAAGGTTTGCTGATGGAACTTGAGTCCAGAACACGTCGCGTCGCGTCACGCGAAATGAAATGATCGCCGTGTCACATCTAGATCACGTGTCTCATATCAACTTACTCACCTTCCTCCGTCTCGTCATTACCTTCCATTCCGAACCGGACTTACACGGCTTGGGCTCGGCTACCTAACCTCGGAAGCGCAAAGCTCCTCAACGACCCGCAACGTCACTCAGCGGTTCTTTTCGTATCTCGGCGACCACGTCATGATCTTCCACCTGTGTGTCATTTTTGGTGCGCGCTTTGCCGGCGAGCTGAAGTATCGCATGCTCTAAGTCGCCGTCTGCTTGGATTGTCGATGCTCTTTGTCCCACGTGGCTCCCTTTGTCCTCATTCACTTGTCGCCATCACGGACATGAGGCGCGTCTTCATACTCCGCTCCAGTGTCTTTCTCAACATACGAAAGCTTGTCGAGAAACTTGTCAAAGTGCTCTGCTGAAGGACCCAGATACTTGCTTCAAGCTTCAACTTCAAGCTTGTCCCTTCAAAGTTTACTCGCAACAAGCTATTACGAGTCACTTGAAAGAAGCGGCGGTAGTCATTCCTTTGTGCGGTAACCAAACTATGACCGCATCTGCAAACAAAGAGCGCCCCGACGCGATGATCCCTATGTTGCGCCTCGTCGTCGTCGTCAACCAACTCTGCTGCCCATTGTACGCGAAGAAAGGCGGCTTCGAGTCCGCTTTCCCCAAAGACTCCAGCAAGCGACGTATATAACCTGCTCCCGACAATGCCATTCTCCAACACCCAAGCCCGGGCAACTCCAACCAACACTCCTCCGCCTCTTCATTCCGCGCTCTGCTCTCGAAAACGATGTCGTTCGCCTCTCCCACCAAACGCCGTGTTCCCCCGCAGCCATATATCCCCGCACAGGGCTGGCGGGTCGCCAACGCGGCGTCCCACCGTGTTCTCCCGCCAATTTCGTTCGACTACGCGGGCCACCGGCCCGGCCAGGGCGTCTCCATGCGCGACCTGCGGCTAAAGAGCACCGCGACGCCGCTGCTCGGCGCGGCAGACCCGGTCCTCGCGCCGAGCGGGCTCCAGCGGGTCGTTTTTCGCATCATCGTCAGTTGCCGCTCTGATTTTACCTGTGGATATACTGAGCTTGCTTATTCTCATTGACAGTGGCCGGGGTACGGACACGTTGAGTGGTGCCGCACGATGCCCGTTGTCAGCCCAAGCGGTGCGCCAATAACGCGCGTGGCGCTGGCTGTTCAAATCGCCACGAGCTTCGCGAGCTGGTTTGAGGTTCGCTTTGCCCTTCCCTCTCCGAAATTTACTGACAAACGGTGCAGAAGACGCAGTACGAGCAGCCCACATCGCCCGAGTGGATGATCTCCCCCGCCTGCGTGCAGTTCAAGCACATGTACCTCGTCTCGCTCGTCAACACCTTCGAGGATGTGTGGCAGGCCGACGTCGCGCTGGATGTTTGCTGACTTTATTTTTGTCTTCTGGTCCATCATGATGTTTCGTATCATTCGGCTGTAGCTCGAGCAAGTTCAAGTTGTATCCTTACATACTACTTATATCGCATTAATGTTGCATCGCTTTAGTCTGTTTCGTACTGGGGTTGCGATTATCTAACTCCTCGGAAAGCTCTGCCACGGTACAATTTTTTTTTTTTTTAAAAAATTCAACTTCAAGTTGAAGCTGAGCGCTGAGGAGTAATCGGCCCCTGAGCAGACTTGTTGCTCCAGAGCTTCACCGCCAAGTCCCGACGCGAGCGCTGGTGACTTGCCGACGGGCGTCGCGGCCAAGTATCGGGCCCGATGATCTACGGCAATAGGATCACCAGCGACCGCCGATCTCCTCATTTCATCCCTCTTCCTTCCCTTCCACCATGACGAACTGGGCCATCTTCCTGACCGCAGCGCAGGCACCACCCAAGGTGCGCCCCTGCCTCCCCTGCCTTGGCCCCGCAATCCTGACCCTCCCTGGCAGACACTCAACCGCGCACTCCTATACATGCACGACTTCGAGAACTCCCCGTTTCCGCCAGACTACGGCTGGATACTGCTCAGCTCCAAGACGCTGCCGTCCAAGGCGAAGGCGCGCCGGCCCACGCGGGTGCCCATCACCCCGGCCATATCGGCGAGCGAGTTCGCGGGCATGTCCCTTGCGCAAGTCAACGCGTTTGTGCGCGCAAACAGCACGGCGCTCGAGAAGATCGACGTTTCGGTGGCGGACTGGGCCGTGCTCGACCAGAAGGGCCTGGAAACGTCCACATGTCTTGTTTGTGAGCAGGTTTACGACGGGGGCGAAGAGGGAGCGGATGAGGGGCGGATGACGGACGAGTTCCGCGCATGTCGCATTCCGTATGAAAAGGCGTGGGGCATGATTGCGAACCTGGACATTTCCAACATGGACTTCGAGGACTTTATTGACCAAGACGCGGGGGAGCAAGAGGACGGGAGTTGGCTCTATTCTTCTACTCCAGAAGATGATGAAAATGATGGTGGGGATGGAGACGGGGGAGATGCCCCAGGGGATGAGGACAACCCGGGTGATGAAGAGGATGAGGGGACGGGAATCAAAAGGGAGGCGATATACGAGATGCTGAAGGCCGGGAACCATGTCGATTGAACTATTAGATGATGAAAGCATGGCGAAAAAGCGACGTTTCCAATGGCAAGGATGGCATTTCCACTCTTTGGAACGACATGAAAACCTCCGTGCTCCAACACTATGTGGAGTGGGTATACGAGGGAGAGGGAAGTTTCGTCGGAAGGAGAATGAAATGAAGTTATGCAAGGGCCCGCTGAAGCGGCGCAAAAGGCCTTAAGAGGAGAGCTCGATTGGGTGTTGAAGTCGGCGTCGTTTGGGAGTTGTGGAATGTTCTGTCGAGCAGCCGTCAAGACAGAGGCAAAGAAGGCAGAAAGTCTGACACGCGCCAAAGGACTCCCAAAGCACACCCCCGACCGCAAATGTACTCTTCCGCCAGGTCGAAACACCACCATTATGGACGTTAGGACCATTCCTTACGATTGACGTAGTCAGCACGCACCAGAACCCCGCATTGTTGCCTGCTGTAGCGGTCGGAGAAGATTTGCTAACTGGCATGCTCCTCATACGGCATTCTCCTGCCAGTGCGCCAGTTGTACTAGTAGGATATTCCGCTCCTTTGGGGGGTGGACTGGTGCCATGGCCCTGGCCACTGGGCGGAGACGACGCCAGTTACTAGTATCCGATTCTGGCTGGAGGAGGGAGGGGAGATGCACGAGACGCGGTGCGGCGAGCGGTGTATGAAGGAGTGAAGTCGTGCACATGGACGGGCGAAGAGGGAGCCATTTCCTTTTGCAGTTATCTAGTAATAATATATCCACCGGTCCGGGGCCGACAGCCATTGAGTGTGTGGACCAGGCTGGGACCATTGGCGAACGTCGGTGCGCGACTGTTAACAAACTCAACACGATAACGGTCGACTACTCGCACTTCTGCTGCAGCTTTCTATGTTCTCAAATAAAAATTCGAGACACCTTTGATTGCGCAGAACGCAATACTTGGCGGGCGCCAAAGCTGGGCTGACGGAGAAGCATGCAGGGCCGTGTCGGATATTCCTGAGGTATGACTTCACTCAGTCGCTGAGTGTCGCACCAGATTGCAAAAAAAACTGAGATTTCCAAACCACAAAGCACTACTAGTAGTACTATACGACCACGCTCCACTGATAATAGACCTTGCCGACCGTTCAGAGGGTGATCGGGAGGCAGTTGATGGCGATGAGGCCGCCCCACTGCTGCTGCGGCGCCTCGCAGGTGACGGTGGTGCCTCCGCTGGAGAAGATTAAGCAACTGCTGCTCTGAACGACTCGGGACGAGGGGAACCTACCAGTTGTTGCCGATGACAGTGATGGGGGAGCAGCTGAGCCCGACAGGGACGTTCAGTCCGCCGAGGTCGATGCCCAAGAGACCGAGGATGGCCGAGGCAATGCTGGTGGTCGAGGAGACGACGCTGTTGCAGCACTGGGGGGGAGTCGGATGGGGGCGGGTTGGTGCGCGACTCGAGGCCGTTCGGCGCGGCGGCAGCAAGGGTCTAGAAAGAGAGGTCAGTGCTCGACGCGCTGGTTCGTGAATAGACGAACAGCGAGGGCCAGGACAGCGGTGTACTTGAGGTTGGCGAACATGTTTGTGAGGAGGCTGAGTTTACTTGAACGAGTGGGTTCGAGTGCAGAATGCAGGCCGACCCTGGGCAGCTTTTATACAGTTTCGGGCCCTTAGAGGCTCCTGCGGACTTGATTGGACGTCCTTTTTCTTCTGGAAACTCGCACTTCGAATTTGGACAAGGCGCACGGTAGCAACGTCATTGCGATCATGACCTGCCAGATGGACACATGTTGTGGGCTTATAATTATCTGTCGGAGGCGCGAGCCAATGAACGATCGTCTTGCTTGAAGTTGCCGAGGACAAAAAGTTATAATTGTCTGTCGGAGGCGGGAGCCAATAAGGGATCGTCTTGAACTTGCCTCAGGCTCGTTCGGGTGTTCTGTCATCCGCGTTCAACTTCGGAAGGGCGACTGTGGTTGGCAGGAAAGAGTAGAATATCCAGGACTGTTGATAGCAGTTGTGTCGAAATGGGTTTGTTTCTGAGAAGACTGTCCTCGTAGGCACGGGAATTCTTGCCACATCCCGACGGGCTGCATGCTGTTCGAAGTCGGCGGTGAGAAGCTGAGACCTTGAACGGGCAGGGAGACCACCGTAGACGGCGTAGACGGCGTTTGAGAGAATCGTCGCCACAATCCCGAGACGACACGATTGGTCGCAGGTGGTTGGTGCAACGACATTGGACAGAAGACTCCGCGGTTTGTGATGACGCCCGACGTCGATAATACCCCAGATGACAAGTTTCTGATATAATCCAAGAGAGTCTTGGCCAACTTCCACCATATTGGGGGCGCGGCTGAAGCCTGAAGGGAGGAAGGAATGATGCGGCAGCGGTGACGTAGGTGGCGGTCAATGTCGGACCACGGCCTTCCGACTTGTTCCCGCTTGATTGGGTGAGGGGATGCACCACAGCTCGCGTCAAAGGAGGAGAAAAAGGTGGGGTAGGTCCTAGGAATAGACTTTGTGTGTTATTGCCAGTGAGGCAAAGAATAATTCACCCAACTACTACCCCACCTTCAATATTCCTCGAGTTGCGCATCAAGGAACGGCGTGTCCTGCGCGAAAGGCGGAATGAACGATGACAACGTTCGACAGTTAACTTTTGAGGGATTCTCGCCATTACAGCACATGCTCTTGACACCTCCGCGAATCATCAGCGCGTATGAATAGAACTGGCCACACGAACGCCGCGGCGTCGTCAATAGCAGCTAAGAATTCAAACGGCGGTGGGTTAAGTAGTCTGTGGGGCATTGGCCTCAGCGTGTTTCTCGCTGCGACTCTAAGGCCAACATGATGAGCTATCATCCAAGTTGCTGTTGCTGACACACCTTTCGCACACACACACACACCCTATATTTCGAAGTGGGCCTCGAAATGCAGCTTCGCTTTCGTTGCGGCTGTCAGGCGCTGAACGCGAATGACAGAACAACTCAACGCAAAACATAACCTGCTCCACTTGTACGCGTGTCTCGAACCAATCAGTGAGCACGAGTCCGTCCCTTTCTCCTGGGCAAGTCGCCAGACGGACGTTCATTGGCTCCTGCGGACAATTAGCACAGACATCTGGCATTTGAGAATGACGTTGCTACCGTACGCCTCGTCCAGAAGGAAAGAAGCCCAAGACATTGAAACAAGCACAGGATGGGCCAAAAGCCACCGAGGCTGCAGGGACTGGAAATGCTATAAAAGCTGGCCGGCTTTGGCAGTATTCTTCACTCGAACCCACTCGTTCAAGCCTCCTCACAAACAACATGTTCGCCAACATCAAGTACACCGCCGTCCTGGCTCTCGCTGTTAGTATAATCGCCAACGAGCGCGTCGACCACTGACCTTTTTTTTCTAGACCCTTGCTGCCGCCGCGCCTAACGGCCTCGAGTCGCGCACCAACCCGCCCCCATCTGACTCCCCCCAATGCTGCAACAGCGTTGTCTCTTCGACCACCGGCATTGCCTCGGCTATCCTTGGTCTCCTGGGCATCGACCTCGGAGGACTCAACGTCCCCGTCGGTCTCAGCTGCTCCCCCATCACCGTCATCGGCAACAACTGGTAGGTTATCCCCCGCTATCGCCATCCTTGCTCATCGTTTTTAGCGGCGGCACCACCGTCACTTGCCAAGCTCCCCAACAGCAATGGGGCGGTCTCATCGCTATCAACTGCATTCCCATTACTCTCTAAATGGACGGAGGAAAGCAACAAACGGGGCCTCGGGGGATTGGTCGTATACGCTTGCTTGTCTTTTGCCAGAGGTCCTATGCAGATTGGATTATGTTGAGAAATGGCGGGAATGGTCTGAGCTTACCGCATATTGACTCGGAGCACAACAGATACCCTGAGCTCGACGAGAGTCGAACAAAGCCATAGCTCTGGCACACACACTGATTAGCTTAATTCGTCGTCACCACCGACGAACCCCTCTATAGGGCGCGATTTTCACGACAGCAGATACAACAGTGGGCGATGATAGGCTTTGTATAAAGAGAGCCTTGCGGGTTCAATTAGTTTTGCGTCGTTGCGATATAATGAATAAATGCAAGCGACGCACTTTCGATGCTCGAAATAGAGCACATTTCCCTCCTCTAACCACTCCCCGCAAAGCATTCGGTTCCTTGACATAGTATCGGTGTCGATAGCCAGAGGTCAGGCAACGTGGTAGTGTTTTGGCTAGCTCGCTTGGTGCACTGGCCCATGTCGTTGGGCAAGCAAGCCAGGGGTGGGGGTCAACCGTGGTCGAACGTTTCACGCGGTAAAACAACACCAAGCTGATGCTTCACTAATTGCCATAGGGAGAGTCGACGTACTGTCTCCATGGCCAGCTAATGGCTGACCAAGACCATGTAATCGAGTAAAAACCAAGGGAATATATACTCGTCTGTGAAACGACCTGTCAGCAAAGGAATTACGGAAAAGCAAGTGGATAGACTCACCAGACACCGCGTGCATGCCCAAGACCCCGTCCCATACAAGTAACAACCTGAAATAGCGACCTCAAAACGCGTGCATTCGAGTTCCATGACGGTGCGGCAGTCCGAGTCAGAGGCTCCATTTCTCCCGGCGATAAATTTGGTGAGTCAGTCGCATGCGCGACGTTTAGCTGTAGAACGGGGTGGCCATCAACTTGAGACATGGTGGAGTTAGAAGGGAAGGAGAAGAACGAATGTATTATGTCACAGGTCACTTCCTCGCAAGAGTTGTCCTTGACCAACACTACGAATGGGCCATCCTGAGCTTTGCTCCCTCGCTTCATCGAACACTCACTCAGCTGCGCTTCTCTTGTCTTTTTGAAACAGTTTCACGTCCTCACTGGCAATTCTCCGACCAGTCACTCTTCGCATATGAAGCTCGATTCTACAAGAACGCTTCGGCAGCATTGCGGGAAGGTGGATGGGTCGGTAGCTGGGAAGGCTCGCCATGGAGGCAGCAAGCCTAGGGTTATTCGAGTATGAGAGGATGCGAGCATGGAAAGTGAAGAGGCACAGCAAATGGTGAGCCGCCTCATATGATCCTCATATCCCTTGAAGCTGACAAGGTTCGCAAGCTCATCGACATTCCTATTGACCCCGTGAAGACCACTTGTCAATATCGTATCATTCGACACCCACACAGGCTACACTGACAGCTTACACTCCCCTTGTTTCTCGCGTCCAAGCAGTGTCCAATATACCCAACATAATCATCCCAAAACCAAACTACCTATATAACGCCCGGCATATGTGACTTATGCTCACTGATACTGGCGTCGTCGGCGGTATCGAGGTCGTCCGTCCCACGCTTGGCATCGCGGTCGCGTACGCGGCCATCGTTGTCCTTGTCGACCTGCACCTGCACATCTGCTCCCAGTCAGCCAACACTCACAATGTTCATCTGAGACAACTTGAACTCACGTATCCCACCAAACGTGTCCAACCTCGTCCCACCACGCTCGCGGTCACGTGCGCCGCCAGACGTCCCATGTCCCGGCGCGCGCGAGCCCGAGAAGCTCATGTGGTCGTCCGGGTCCGTAGAATCGCCCGTGCTGCCCATTCGGCGCGTGGTGAGATTGAACAAGAGGGTGCAGCCGTACAGCCGGCCGAGGAAGAAGCCCGGCGTGAGGGAAATGGTAGTTCGCGGCCAGACAACGAAGAGAACAAGCATGATTGCGGCGACGATTGCCGTGGCGCTGCCAGTTTGGATCGCGCCGACGCTTAGACGGCGGATGATACTAGGCACGTGAGTTATCGAAAACAGGAACCGATAAGGGAACTCACGATTGGGTGCGTTTGAAGGAGCTCTGGTAGGAGCGCAGCTGCAGCACGAGCGCTACGGCGATGGCAATGTCCGTAACGGCGGCGGAGATGAGCCAGACCATGGACATGGGTACAATCGTGCTACGCTCCGCGACACTCTTGTGGATGATGGACATCGCCATTGTCCCTAGCGCGCCTGCGAAGGCAGTCATCGTGCTCAGCACGAGGAGCACACACACGAAGTAGTTTTTCGACAGGATGCCGTATCGCCATGTGAGGTACAGCTGGACGATGAAGCCGCTAATGCCGGAGGTGAGGGCCTAGTAATCGAATCAGCTCAAGTTAATGTTCCAGCGTAGACTGGGATGACGCACGTAGATGGTCCCAGGCCATGGGTTCCACATCAGGAAGGCGGGGTCGCCCCAGTGGGTCACGAGGAAGAGGTACGTATACGCAGCATTCCCCATTGTGCCAACGGTGTCGTTCAGTAGCTGAAGCACCACGATGCCGCGTACGACCGCCGAGTTTGCGCCCGGGGAGCGCACTACCGAAGCCTATCAGCCAACAACAAACACAGCTATGAACGCCAGACACACAGTTTTTGTGCGAGAAGTACTGGTACGCGAGGAGCAGCTCGAGCATGAACATCATCGAGTTGAACCACGTGCCGAGCAGCAGCGGCGCAAAGATGTTCTCGAGCGACGCTGCGAGGGCGCGGTCGCTCATACTGGGGGACAAGGGCGCCCAGCCCAGGTTGGGACCCCGCCCTATATACTGGTTTCCTCCCCATTCTGGGCGTGACGGTGACGCCCCCTGACTGCAGGAACCTGCCGTTAGCGTTACCGCTGCCACCCTACTTAGTACTCTCGACTCCCTGCCCACCCACCCACCACTGGCAGACACATCACACATTAAATGTTCGACGGAAGGATGGGCGGAATCGGGAAAAGCGAATACCCGCCGCCTCGAGAGGCAGCGGTCTTTGCGCATCGATCCATGGTGTGAAAGGAGCCCGGTGAGGGGGGGATCCGCAGATCGGCGGTGGCGGTATCATCAGAATACAGCGCGCTCAGGGGCCCCAGAGATGATGCGCAAGTCGTCGGTTGATGCGCGCAATGCACGACGCACGTGATTAATGACTGGAACCTCAGGCTGAACTTTGAAAAGAACTGTAGGCGGGCGGAGTGCGCACGTTCAGGTGGAGTGTGCGGAGAGCCGGGGTAGAGTTGCCATTCAGCTAACACAGGGAGTAGCGTAATTGAATTCAGCTCCTGGGCCTGTCGTACTGTCTTTATTGAGAACTAGAACCCGAGGGACGCAATTGAATAAACAAGCCAGGAGAGGACTATGGTTACTGACTGCCAGCTATTAACATTGTCAAAAAGGACCCTAAGTTGACGGGAGCAGATCATCATCATGTTTGGATTCAGTGACTCCCGACTCCGAGTCGGAGGACAGTCCATTGGAGGTGGCCGGCCTGCATGCGCGCAGTGATGGCCTTAGGGCCCCTAAATGCACTTTTTTGGATAGTTTGGGGCCTATTTAGGCTTAGGGCCCTAA